CTTTCCAATCAAAGGTGTACAGTGATTATTCAGCAGGGATTATTCCCTGCAAACATCATGCTTGTTTTTTATCACTCCTTCCATATGCAGTTTACAGCCTTTGTTCGCCTCAGAATCATACAGTGAAATATGAAAGCAGCCAAATCCGAGGGAAACAGACACAAGAGAAAAATGAAATTAAGTCAATCTTACAGAGAGAATACAACCTTCCCTTTCATGCCTGCACAAAACCAAAAAAAAAAAAAAAAAATTGAAACATTAACTGCATCCTGAAAAATAAAGCCTCCTGCTCTCATACAGAGGATGGTTTCAATCACATCAATGTCAGATCTTGTTGAAAGAATTTTGACATTTTTTAGTTGGTGGGATTTTGTCTTTCATACTCAATATCCTGCTAGGAGTGCTACATACCTATGCTAGCTCACCTTAGGGGTCATTAAATACACAAAAAAGGTCTTTTTAATCTATAAACTGGAAAAATATTCAGCTGGAGATTGGATATGGAATATATCCTTCCTAAGCTTCACTCAGTGTGGTTATAGTGAAAGAAATCTTTTATTTTTAGGTCAGGTGTGCCCTCAGTCCGCTCCTGAAATAATATCACTTCCTCTCACTTCCATATATTTTAAAAACAGTTCCCTCATGCTGAAAGTGCAAAATGACAGAAACAAACCACATTCACACCAATTGCCCAGAGAAATCACTCCCTTTCCCCCCTAAAAGCAAAACAAAACCAATTCAAAAATCATGACTTTCCCAAGGAAATCCTCAAAAAACACCCAAGCATTTATTTAGCCATTGTAATTCTTCCCATCTGAGCAGAAATTATCAAATTTGTGCTGGAAGAAGACAGAGGCGGAGTGGGGTTTGCTCGGAATTCCTCAAGATGTGGTTTCATTTCTGTCCACATCCCAAATTTACCTGCTGATTGGGAAGGAGCTGGGAGGTTGCTGCCAAGGAAGTCCCACAGATCTCAGACTTTATACAAAAACAAAAGTTTGATGCAGCAGTGAAGGTTCTTCCTCATTGTTTTGGGTCATTACTTCACAACTCCTTATTTTCCTCCCCCTCCAAAAAAAAAAAAAAAAAAAGTAGTATTGGTAATTTCCAATTTCTTTTGAAATAAGAAATAGGAGGTGTCTCCAGCCACCATCACTCATCTTCCTCAGTGATCTTGGATGAGTCTGGAAGGATCTGTGGATAAATGCCCACAAAAAGCTCTGCATCTTCAAAAAATTCACCTTTATCTCATTGCCTGCTAACCTCAGAACCTCACAGATTTCTGCAACCATTTACTCAGTTTCCTTGCTGGGATCTTGTGCTTCCTCCTCTATTTGGAAACAAGATATTGATAACAGCTGAAAATACAGAGCTGATAAGAGCTGCTACTCTCCTTAGACCCCTGACTGTTTATCTTCTTCAAAATGTCTCTAATTACAGCATAAATCATAAATACTTTGGCATATAAAATGTTTTACTTGTAGGAAGAAGCAGTGGTAATTTTTTTTATGTTGATTTCTAAAAAATCCTTATTAAACAGCAAATAAATACATTCAATTATTTTGATTATTGGAAAAAAGTACCATATGATGAATGTCAACCTCTCAAGAACAAAATGGCATATTACTTGCTACCATAATGGACATGTAATTGAACCTTTTTGAAGTATAAAGGATAAAATAGTTTTGAAAACAACATTTGAGCTTTTTCTCCCCTAAAATACATTTAACTTGGCATGAGAACAATTGAGGAATCCTCTGGCTGCATTTCAAACTCATATCTTGGACCTTTTTATTCTAGACTGAAAGTTGACACTGCCAGGGATCCAGGGGCAGCCACAACCAAGAATTTCTTTCTCATCTCTAATCTAATCTACCCTCCTTCATTTTAAAACCAATTTAATGTAAAATATTTCAAGGAGACTCTCTGGGATTTTTGTAGGAATCCGTTTTCCCTCCTTAGTTCAGCTCTGCCACTCAGTTTCTGGTCACTTTATCCCTTTTCATTACTTATGAACAGACCCTGTTAACAGACCTGCTTCCCTTAAAAGTCCTTCATTTTTTCTAATTCCTTCTCCATCACATCCCTGAGTGTTCTGCTCGGTGGAGAACAGACACTGAGAGCAGAGGTTAAAAGGTACCTTGTCCCCACACAGCCTCCCCAAAAGCAGGGATCTGCATTTTAACCCCTTCCCTGCTCTCCCCATTAAAGGGTAAGAGCTGTGTGCTTAGGAATTGATCACCCAGGCACAATTTCAGCCCAGAGTTAAGGATTGGGAGCACTTCAAAGAGCTCACAGCTTTTTATGTGTGTTAAGCTGTTCATGTTGAAGCACCGGGTGCCCAGGAGACTTTTCACTGGGTTTGCTTCACACATTCCACTGCGACCTTTTGCCCCAGCTCACACAAAACCTTAACAGGGATATAATTCCTGAGCATCTCATGTGCCACTGTTCTTCCCTGAGCACAACTTATTTTATTTTCCCATCCATTCTGCTTTGCTAAAGATGCTCCAAATGAGCTCAAACAATGCTGATTTGTCAGTGGAGCACAGGGAGGGCGAGCTGGAGTCCGACAGACAGGAGGAACAGAGCACAGTTTTATAAGATAACCTCATAAAACTTAACAGTTGCCTCAACACATTGAAAAATAGAAAAGTTGTCTTAATTTTTTTACTCTCTCCTGCTATATTCTAGTGAGAGATTCTTATATTTACTCCCCAGGGACACATCTTTCCATCAGCTGATCAACTGAGGCCTGAACCTTTTTTTAAAAAAAATATCTTCTCTTTATCATCACCATTTTGAGGCCTTGATTCCAGTCCTTGGCTGTCAAGGTGCCCTGCCCTTCACAACAACTCTCAGTGTGTGATTACTCGTAGTAGACTGACACTAAATGAAGTTTTTCATGAGAACCAGACCAAGATGTATTTTCCCCTAAGATCACTTTTTTATCTATGATTATTTTTTTTCTTTTGAATGGATCTGTGCACAATGGTGGAAGATGTGTCAAGTGATTTGTGGGCATTTTGTTTGGAAACCACAGTTTGTAAAGCATGTGCTGAAACTTTCATTGCCCAGCTCTGCTTTGGAATTTCTTGTTTTAAATTGATCAAAGAACCATGGAAAGGCTTGGGCTTAAAAAGACCTTAAAGATCATCCCTTTCCATGGGCAAGGACACTTTGTGCTAGACCAGATTGCTCCAAACTTCTCAATAATCCATTAGGGAGAATTATACCCTGTTGGGAAGCAGGAGGTAACTGGAGGCATTTCAGAACAACCTGCCTGAGTTCAAAGCCCCTCTTTGGACACATAGCCCTGAACTCTCCTCAGCTCCTACTTTTCCTTGCAATAAAGTCATGAGAAATCCTATTTATTACCATGTTCTGCAGAACAACAGGCTGAGCTGGTGACAAAGTGACCTCAGCCAGGTTTCCTTGGAAGCAGCCCGAGGTGATCGGTGTCACTCCTTGGCCAGGTGCTCAAGGAGTGACACCTTGAGAGGAGGCAGAACCTCCTCTCCCTCTCTCTCAAACACAAACTCTTCTTCCCATCAAGTGTCCTTCTGCAAAACCTTTGTGCTTCTCAAAGAGGAAAGGCTCCTGGATTACATTTTTTGACAAGATAGATGAGAGGGTTTGCACATGAGACCAAGGGAAGTAATGAGCTGTAATCTTTGAGCTGGAAGATATCTATCTTTTTTAATTACAGGTAGATTATTTCTATATTAGCCCCTGCAGCTAAAGGCAGGGCCACAGAGGTTTCTCAAAGCATTGCTGTGTCAAGATGAAGGGATTCGAAGAGTTAGGCAGAAAAAAAGAGATTTTCAAACTCGAGTCTATTTTGAATTTTATAACTCCATGCAATTTATGTTATTCAGCAAGCAGGTATTTTGACACTTATTCACTACAAGTAAAAGGATATTGCCTTCACATCAGGGAGCTGGTTATTAGATAGTCCCTGCCAACATTTCTGCCTCAGTCTGTCTCTGCTGTCCTTGTCAGAGGAAGCTGCACCCTTCCCATAGAATATGGGAATATCATAGAATAATTGAAACCCATTTAACCAAAATATCTCCTTGCATTCATATTTTTACATCTCTTTATCTTCTACCTGAAGGAAGGAAGTGTTGTCTGACTGTGATGCTCCTTTGAGATACTTTTTTGTATTACAACTTTTGCTCTTCCAGTGGAGTTTGCCAAGGCTTGGTGATGTCTGGAGCTTTGGGGGAATTTTGCCAAAGGCACCATGGTTCAACCTGCTACAGAGATGGGCATGTTGAGTGTTTCAGGTTCCTGTGAGCAGCTGGGTGACTTCAAAAGGGCATCTCCAACCTCCCAAACAGCTCTTGTAGAAGAGCTGCTTTCCTGAGACCTGCTCCTACAAGCAGAATTCCATAAGGATTTCCTTGAGTGAAATCCTGGTGATACTGACATCCCAGATTAGCCATGGAGAATGAACACAGGATCCAAAAAACTGTAGCGTGAATGTTACTGGAGAACATTTGCATCAAAATATTGATTGATTGGAGTCAAGTTGTGTCAAAGCTGTGTTAAACTTTTCTTTTCTTTTCTTTTCTTTTCTTTTCTTTTCTTTTCTTTTCTTTTCTTTCTTTTCTTTTCTTTTCTTTTCTTTTCTTTTCTTTTCTTTTCTTTTCTTTTCTTTCTTTTCTTTTCTTTTCTTTTCTTTTCTTTTCTTTTCTTTTCTTTTCTTTTCTTTTCTTTTCTTTTCTTTTCTTTTCTTTTCTTTTCTTTTCTTTTCTTTTCTTTTCTTTTCTTTTCTTTTCTTTTCTTTTCTTTTCTTTTCTTTTCTTTTCTCTTTTCTCTCTTCTCTCTTCTCTTCTCTTCTCTTCTCTTCTCTTCTCTTCTCTTCTCTTCTCTTCTCTTCTCTTCTCTTCTCTTCTCTTCTCTTCTCTTCTCTTCTCTTCTCTTCTCTTCTCTTCTCTTCTCTTCTCTTCTCTTCTCTTCTCTTCTCTTCTCTTCTCTTCTCTTCTCTTCTCTTCTCTTCTCTTCTCTTCTCTTCTCTTCTCTTCTCTTCTCTTCTTTTCTCTTCGGGATTTTGTGTGTGTGTGTGTGGAAAACAATTAGAAAACAGGGGTTTCCAGGAAGCAGCACTGATAGTAAAATTTCACACAGTCCTGCTCTTTTTGAAGTGTATTCCACACTGATAACACTTCCAGGGTTGAGTCCTGCTGAAGAACAGGAGCAGGGCTTTGTGCAAGTGATGAAGAATGGCACAGACATTTCCACACCTTGGGAAAAGAGGAAAAGTAAAGACAACAGAGACAAAAGGGAAGTGGAGGGAGAGAAAAAGGGGGAATCAGATAAAGAGACAGAGAAGTCAAATTTAAGAGTTAATTCAGGAAGGAAGTGCATGATGAAAGATGTCTTTGTCTTTAAGTATTGAATTGAGCACTCCAGAACTGGGAATTGCTGCTAGGTGAGCATTGAGAGCTAAAGCTGGAAAGCAGAAATTGGTAACAAAGTAAACTCATTCCGAAGGAAGTCTTTAAGAAGTTTTCCTTCTCTTATTGTACCTCACAGGTTGTATAACTTCAGATTTAATGGATATTCTCAACTGGAGTTCTATCTGTGAGCTGGAGGGAAGGCTATTAGTATGCTAATCAGTTCTGCAGAGTAAATTGGTTATAGGAGTGGGGTAAGGTACAATAGGGGAATATTTTTTAATTAGCACACTACGAAGCCAATAGTCCCCTCGATGCCTGTGCATGCCCCCTGTTAACATCCATTTCAGCCACACCACCTCCACTGGAGCCAGGGGCTCTGCTCCATCCCAATCCCAATACCAATCCCAATCCCAATCCCAATCCCAGTCCCAATCCCAATCCCAATCCCAGTGTATTCCCAGGGAGGGAGGGAGGGTGGCCACTCTCTCACCTGCAGCACGTGCATCTGATGCCCCGTGCAGGCTGCTCTAGAACAGAGACCTGGCCAGAGTCACAGAATAAATCAGGGATTTATTAAAGGATCTCCTCCATGGATCCACCTTGGGCAGCACCAGAGCCCAGCCAGGGCTGCACCCAAATGAACCAAAATGGCCCCAAAATGCACGAGCGCTCCCGGGGGCTCTCCCTGGGATCAGTTCTGCCCCATTGGCACCTTGGAGTTCATTGTCCCATTCCAGCTTCAGCCCAGGCAGTCCCATCCTGCTTGTTTTTCTCTCTCCAGCCCACGGTGTTTGTGCTCCTGGGCTGAGATTTGGGTCATTTGTCCTTGGTGCCCAGCTGGAGCAGGAATTGTTTTGTCTCCCTGCTCTGTGCAGAGAGCTCAGCATCCCCTGATAGAAATCCCAGACCCACACACTAAAGCAGCACTGAACCTGGAAAATATACAAAAGCTATAACCTGAGGCATCAGAAATTCTGGGGCAGCAGTGCTGGTGTCCCATCACAATCCCAGAATGTTTTTTGTTGGAAAGAACCCTAAAACCCATCCCATTCTACCCCTGCCATGGCAGGGACACCTCCCACTGCCCCAGGCTGCTCCAGCCCCAGTGTCCAGCCTGGCCTTGGGCACTCCAAGAATCCAGGGGCAGCCCCAGCTGCTCTGGGCACCCTGTGCCAGCTTCCCTCAGAGGGAGGAATTTCTTCCCAAATGTAATCCCAATGGAAGGTTTGTGGATTCTCACACCCAGCATGTTTAGAAAGGAGAGTTTTATCTGTTTGAATCATCTGTCAGGTTTTACAGGCAATTCCAGGTGGGTTTAGTGCTTATCCTGGACTCTGGCTAAACTCACATTTTCTGCAGATGGACTTGTAGGGTTTATCACTGGTGTTGGAAATACCTGAGAGAATCAGCCCTGCAAAACAATCTTGCTCACTGATTATCTTTCTTTTATTAAAAAAGTTTCTTAGGTTCACAAGCCTCAAATGAACCTTTGGAAGACTCGGTGGAGAAAATAATTAAAGCACCAGGAAAAAATGGTGTTTTGGGGATCATAATGTGAATAATAAAAACAGGGCAATCATTTGCAGTTTGGTATATAGATTTTAACACTTGAACCACATTCTTTTAAAATCTCTTCCTTCAATATCAGCTACCCACAGAGGAGGTAGCAGTGCTTTAAAAGTCATGGTGTAATGGTCAAACTTTCATTTCCTTTATAATTTCTCACTGCTAGAGCTTTTCTATTTAGTTCCCTGAAACTCTTCAACAAAATATAAAGTATTTTGGAATAAACTCTTGTATTGAGAACCTTGAGGTCCATGTGCTCGAGAGCTGAGTGTCACATGGCCACGAGACAGAGAACATTGTTGAAGGAAAGTAAGCAGATACTGAATTCCTGCAAAAAAATACAGATCAAACACCTCTGTGAGCTCCAGGCTTTTCTTGGTGCATCCCACACAGCCCCTTCACTGCTCCTATTTGCTAAAAAAAAAAGGCCAGTTTTTCATCCTCGACTTTTGTTTATTTATATTTTACTACATAATGATTCAATAAAATCTGAGATGTAATCCTTGAGAGAAACTTAAACTACCTCTGTAATATTCTTGACCAAAGTTTGAAAATGACTCCAGCATTACTGTAAGATCCTCTGGAAAGTCAGTTTTAATTTCCTCTCTTGCAGGTAAAGGATAAATGACAGTTCTCTTGTATTAATTTCTGAGAGAATTTATTTCACTGAATTAAAAGATTTTAATATTATTAGAACACAATACTGTCTAATAAAAAGGAAAAGATTGTTGGAGGTTTTAAGGACCTCAGCTTTAATCTCCTTGCACCTCAAACATATGGCTAAGGTTTATTAAAATACTGAAGAAATGTTGTATTAGAACATCTGAACATAAAAGTATTGGTTAATTGGGCTACACCTCAGGTGTCCTACCAGCCTTATCCCTTTTATCTCAGGCTCAGGAGATATTTATAAAGACAACTCTGCATTTGATGCTTTTTTTCCTCCTTCTCTTTTTCCCTTTTTTTTTTTTTTTTTTTTTTTTTTTTTAATGCAGCTAATAATTAATCTTTTGGCGGAAAGGAGAAGATGGTTCAGATGCTCTGGCTCTGTTTGCCAGCCAACCTAAATCTTGAAGGTCCAAGACCTTAAACCTGCTGATGAGAACAGCAAATACCAACACAGCAAATGCAACCCCAGCATCCCACAGCCCCCCTGGCAGCAATAACCACGACACAACACAAATCTGGCCTCTCTAATTGGGGTGGGTTTTCTCCTGCAGCCTGATTCCAGCCAGGTGGAAAGGCTGGAAGGCATTTCCAGTGCTTTGCCCAGTGCAAGCTCACATTAATTATTTCTGAATTAATTCTTTAGGGAACCCAGGAAAACTTGGAAAACTTGGAGCCTGAGTTTGGCAGAGAATCAGCCACAGCCCACTGCCCAACATTTAATCACTTTAAGCACTGACAATATTTCTGGAGCGATTTCAGCTCCTCTCCACTGCTAAACTAGAAAAATGCTCTTCTGCTACTTGTGGTAAATGTTCACAGGGAGGGATTAAAACTTGAATGATTTCTTTCCTGATGATCCAAACTTTTCCATTTTAAGGGCCATGTATTTCTATTTATGGTTCTTCCTCTGGCCAAAATGAAGTTAGAATGCTCACAACCCACTCTTCCTGCAAGACCTGGCATCAGCTTGCAGAAAAGACTAAAGGATTTACAGCCACAATAAATCAGCTTTTTTTTTTTTTTTCCTTTGAAATCATAAATACAACAGCCAAAATAACAATGAGAAATTCATGGAGTCCATCAGCAAAAGAATTACATGGTTGGTAAAGGTCACTTAGAGTTATTTTGAGCCCTGTCAGCCAGTTTTGGCCCCATTTAATGTGATCTGTTTGTTTTGTATCTCTCTGGTTTTTAATCAGTCATGCAGTACCAAGTCAGATGTTTTATAGAAGGCTGTTACAGGACATTACCATGGTTATCAACAAAATTTGTAATCTCATTCAAGAAAAAAAAGCAATTTTGACAAGACCTGCTTTCCCTAAGTCCTCATTGATTGGCATTAATTAGGCTTCTACCATTAATCCTTTATTAATCAAATTCTCCAGCAGCCATTCCAGGCCCAGTATCAATCTGACAAACCTGAAATTACCAGGGTCATCACATCTCAATCTTTTAAATACTGGGACAACATTTGCTTTTCCCAGCCTCCTGGCACTGCCCCACTGATCCCAAACTCACTTAAAAATTCACAAAGGCAGCTGGAGGAGCTGAAGCGCAGCTCACTCTTGTCATGCACTGCAAAATTTGGCAAATTTGGGGAGCACTGGGCTGGTTGGGCTTTGCTTTGACCTCTCCTTGGTCACAGGCTCACAGCAGTGTTGCAGTTTTGGATGATTAAACCAGGTTTTTGCTAAACAGAAGGTAAAGAGGAAGAGAAAACAAAACAGAAATAAAGAAATAAAAGGACACATGAGGCAGGGTTGAGGGCAAACCCCGTGTTTGTTCTCCATGTCTCCTGGCAAGGTGTGACAATGCCTGGGGACATTCCACTCATCCCTGGGTCCCTCTCTGGTATTCCCAAACCTCTTGAAGTGGCACCAAGAGTTTCAGCTCAGCCCTTACCCCGAGCTGCTCGAGCCTTGGCAGTCAGGGTTGGGATGTGGTCATTCCACACGAATCTTCCCTGGACTCTCCTGAAGCTTTAAAAACTGTCGTAATCTGAGGTATTGATGATTCCCAGATTGTAGAAAGTCTCTGTCTGTCAGCCCCACTGCCAAAGCAGAAGCCATAATTGGTCTGTGCTGGTTTCAAGGTTGTTTATTCTGTTTATCTCTAACATGTTCTGCTGCCCTGCCGCAGCTCTGTCCTGCAGGGCAGCGTGTGGGGCTCTGCCCTCAGTGGGATGGTACAAACATTAAATACCACAAACTACCTGTGCTGGATTTACAATAACGTGCCAATATCTGTCACCTACGTTGGACAGTGTGTCCCCAGCCTGAACCAACAGAAAAATGCCAACACCACAGTGAAACATGGAGGGCATGAAGAAGGAGAAAAAGGACAAGACACACCCAATTTCCTCCATCTTGTCCCCTTTGGACCCCTCATCTAGAATCCTAAAATTTTACTTTTGCACCCGTGCCACACTTAATTATTATTTATATCAAACACTCAGAGCTTGTAATTCATCCTGTAAGACTGAAAACTCTTTTCCATGGACAGAGATCACAGCCAGTGTCTCTGGGGGCTCTGTCCAGGGGGGTTCCTGACCCCTGCCAGGGTCCCAGACCTGCCAGGGCAGCCAGAGGGAAGCCCTGGATTCCCACAAA